TTACACACAGTTTCTGAGTTTCCAGCAAGTTGCCTTTCTTCCCCATTTAAGAGATGAGAAAACTGGGCCTTGGGGAAAATGAGAAGTCCCAGTTTAGGTCTCCAGGGACATCTCCTAAAGAAGTATTCAGGATGCTGTACTGTTCGGAAGCTGGCTCCTGAGACACCCGGACCATTTCAGGCTCTAAGAATTGTGCTTCCATTCCCTCCATCTGGCTCCTATACCATATCACACCCAAATATGTGAACTCAAAGCCAAAGAGAAGAGACCAGGCCATGTGCAGCCAGGGTGGAGGCATGTAAAATCTGGAGAGGGTGGACCAACCTCTCATACTCCTGTGTTGGCAGAGAAATGGACCCACCCATTTGCCTGGCACAACCAAAACTCAGCTTTTTCTTGCTGTGGGATGCTGGTCTGAGGCCAGTCTCAACCAGTCTCCATATCACGGCTTGGTGAAAGCACCCCTCCCCCACCCCGGATCCCAAGCATCCCTTGGACCCTGCCAGGACAGAGCCACAGATGCTGGGGAAATGGGAACTGTCTGGAGACAGAGAGGCCAGTCACATCCAAAGCCGGTGGGAAAGTGGTGGTGGAGACAATGTGCTCCTTGCTAGAAACATTATTTTGAAACTTATTTCCTGTAGGAATTGACCAGAGGTGGGTTTTGTCTTGCAAGATAGGCTTCCTTTCTTGAGAAGTCTCATGAGAACAGAGTTTTCAGTAACTCTAAGACATGGTTAGGTCACTGCAACAACTTTATTTCTGGAGAGAACATGTGCTTTGGCTTCCTGCCTCTTCCTACTCTGGGGAAACTGGGGCCAATCTTGAAGACTGATCTCCTAGAAATGTCCTTTTCTATTCCAACAGGGTTTGACGTGGCTCAAAATATAGGCTGTAAAAGCAACCAAGTTAATAAAAATGAGGGGGAAAGAAGAGTGTTAACTTAAGTGCAAATAAGAGTTGGCACCTAGGGCAATCATACTTGCCTCAGCACTTGCTGGCATCTGGGAAAAGGCACAGTCTTGAAATTTGTTAGGTTCTTTGCAGCTTTAACTGTCGCTTCCTTCTCTGTGCCTCGGTTTCTCTGTCTATAATGTAAGAGGAAAATACCTCATCCAAGCCTTATTGAGAGCATCACCTGAGACAATCCATGCAGAGCACCTGAAACAGTACCTGGCACACAGTAAGCATTCAACTGCATCACACATATTATTACCTCATTCATCTGGGGATGGGGAGGGCATTGGTACGTGGAGGAGCTGGTTCTCCTTTACCTTCTCTTCTCTGGATGTTCTCACCCCTGCTTCCATCCAAGTCCTCACAGATGGCCTCTGAAGCCACCTTTGTTCCTGGTCTGGCTCCACAAGGTTCCCATACGCACTTGAGTTCCCCTGCTCCAAGCAGACTATTTCCAGGATGCTTACTTCAGGCACATTGAACAGTGACCTCAAATGCATTTCCTTGACTGTACCTCTCTGAACTAAAAAGTACGGAAATGGCATTGTCTCCTCCTTTTGTCTGGTCTGGGCTAGGTTGGGATGCGGGGGAGAGCAGCTTTCCTAGCTCTCAGCAGCTTAACTCCACCCAATTAGTGAGAAGACTCCAAACCCACAGTGCCTGGCACGGTGTTCTACAGCATGCCACAGGTTGTCTTGTTCTGTCCTCTCTGAGAACGAGGGTGGGGAGGGACCCTTGGCTCACAGAGCTAGTGACAGTGACTCACCAAAGATCCTGTGGGCACTCAGGGTCTGGGCCAGGCCAGTGAGCCATTCATGTGGCATGAGCCACAACCCTGCTATTCTTCTGGCAGCAGCCCATTTTGCGTGTCCCCTCACTATGAGCCGTGGGAGAAATTTGAAAGAGCTTGGATCGAAGGGCAGGGGGATGAGGGTGGTCCTAACAACTGACAAATGCTTCATTTTAAACACGGGCTATGTACAACAGGCCTTTAGCTAGCTATTGAACAAAGAGAATAAGAGATCTTTTAGAAGGGCTTTATTTATATTCATTCACTTGGTCCTCACAACAACCCTGTGAATTAGAACTCTCAATCTCTCTCTCCCCTTTACAGATTAGGAAACTGAGGCAGAGAATTTATTTGCCTATGGTCACAGGACTAGGGAGTAACAAAGCAGGTGATCTGGTCTTACAGTCTGTGTTTAACCACCCCACCAAACCGCCTCTCTAAGATGCTAGAGGGTGTTTGTGCCAATGCCTGGATTCGAAGAAATTAGATTTACTTTAGGATCTCTAACCTCTTTCCCCAGCATTCAGAGATAAGGCCAGAAACAATGCCATTTGTATACAAATGGATGGTCCTCCTATCTCCTATTTCTATTTACAAGGCACTGTAACTTCTTCCCAGGGGCAGAGCCCTACCTCTCCTCCCTTAGGTCCGGGTCTCCAAGGGCTATACCCTACTGATCCTGAGGCACAGCAGTGAGGGCCCACCCCAATTCCTCACCTCCCTTTCTACTCTTCGGCAGAGGCATCCTCAGTGTTGGAAAGATAAGGATTTCTTCCTAAAAAAGAAGAGTTATACTATATCAGAGCCCGAAGATACAGGCAGTTTTCATTTGCAATGAACATCCCCTTCCACCCTTTTCTACATCCTAAAACAAGCATATTCACGGTAACAGCAAAGCGGAAATCAGCTTTTCTTGAACATCTACTGAGTTCTAGCCACATTCACACACGTTAATTCATTTAATTCCAGCCACAAGGTGGGCAGCCACTGTTAACATTTTACAATTGCGAGAACGCAGTCAGAGATCTGGGACTTGCTCAAGGTGACACACTGCAGCAAGGAGTCAGAATTTGAATCCGAAGCAGTGTCCTTCCCCCTCGCCACAGCTGCGGCGCTACAAACACAGGTCGGCCACGGGGAAATTAATGACCCACAGCCATCCTTGCAGCTCTGCGCCACAACTGGGGAGACAAGCTGGTTCCCGTGACTCTTCAGTCTTTCTGTTTTCACCCAAGTGCATGACTGCGGGAGCAAAGCGACCACGTGAGCATCCCCCCACTTCCCCCAGGCGAGGGACAGTGCCAGGCCAAGGACAAGTCACAGGTGCAACAACGTGCCAGAACTGGATCCAGAGCCCCAAGGCGCAAGCTCTCCCGCAGCGTCACCGGGCAGACGGGACGGGTGTGGCGACCGGGCGCGGCAGGTCATGCGTGCGCTGAAAGTGAGGCTTGAGGCGCGGACGGCTTTCCGGAGCCCCGAGAAAGGAGCTAGGAATGACCTTGGTCGCAGCCTCTGTAACCCCCCATGCCGGCCTCCGGGGGCACGGCGAGGTCCCCCCTTGGTCTCTGGCGGTAACCAGCCGGCGGGGCCAGACAGTACGGAGACTCCGGGATGAGGGCGCCGGGAGGGGTTGTCCCGCCCCACGTGGACCGACTCTCTGGTGGGGGCGTGGCCACCAGCGCGGGCCAAGCCAATGAGCGCCACCGTCGGGCTCACCAGGCTGGGCACGCCGGGCCGGCGGGGGCTGCGTCATGCCGGGGGCGGGGCTCCGGGGCCGGCGCGAGGCGCGGCAGGTCACGCGGGTCGCGGCGCCGGCTATAAGTAGGGGCCGGTGGCGTGCTCCGCTAGAGTGATGGCTGCCGGTGCTCGCTGCGTGCTTCCTCTTCTCGGCTGCTGAGAGCCCTGCGGCTGCTTCCTGGATAAGTTGTAAGTCCCGTGGAGCTGTCCCTGGTGCCGCCGACCCGGGCCGTGTGCTCGCCGACCGCAGGCGCGTGTGCCCGTGGCTCCAGCCGCCGCCGCCTCGATCTCCTCGTCTCCCGCTCCGCCCTCCCTTTCCCCTGGTGAGTAGTGGCTCCACCTCGTAAAGGCTCTTTCTTCTTCCCGGGGCTGGGCGCGGACGCCGTGGCGCCGGAGGCGGCCGGCGTGGGTGGTGCGGCTGGCTTCTCCCTTCACCGCTGGCCGCCTTCACTCCGCCCGCCCGCCCGCGGGCCTTTTTGGCGGTCCCCGGGCGGCGCGCGCGGGAACAGCCCTTTTCCGGTTTTCGTGCTGAGGGCGCGCGCGGGCTGGCAGCGCGGGGGCCGGGCTGGGCGCGCGCGGAGGCCCCGGAGCCACGTGCCCCGCCGTCTCGCGCGTCTAGGGGGAATGGGGTCTGGAGTAGCCAGTAGAGTGCACGGCGGGGCCCCGGGCGCGTGGGTAGAGCAGGTGCCCCGCTGGCCCTCCAGGGTCGTGCAGCTATTGTTATTTCCCCCCTTCCCCGCAGGATGAACTTGGGTCCTTTCTCTTCGCCATGGAATTCTGCTCCGTGCTTTTAGCCTTCCTGAGCCAAAGAAACCCCAGACAACAGCTGCCCATACGCAACGTATAGCAGTAACTCCCCAGCTCGGTTTCTGTGCCGTAGTTTACAGTATTTAATTTTACATAATATATATTATTTATTATAGCATTTTTTGATACCTCATATTCTGTTTACACATCTTGAAAGCCGCTTAGTAATTCTCTTACTAAAGAACCACTACTCTAGAGAATGGCAACGCCGATTCCCAGTATTACAGCTTCTGGTCCATTGGTGGGCTGCCTATGGATGCTCATCCTGGGCTTCATTATTGCATTTGTCTTGGCATTCTCCGTGGGAGCCAATGATGTAGCAAATTCTTTTGGTACAGCTGTGGGCTCAGGTGTAGTGACCCTGAAGCAAGCCTGCATCCTAGCTAGCATCTTTGAAACAGTGGGCTCGGTCTTACTGGGGGCTAAAGTGAGCGAAACCATCCGGAAGGGCTTGATTGACGTGGAGATGTACAACTCAACCCAAGGGCGGCTGATGGCCGGCTCAGTCAGTGCTATGTTCGGTAAGTTCTTTTTGTTTTGTCCTCTTCGTGGTGGGTGAGCAAATTTGTATCATGGGTGGTTCCATTTTTGTGCTTAACCTTTCAGATTAACCTTTCGGAATGCACCACTTACATAATAGAATTTTGCCATTTACTTAATAAAACTTGACTTTGTTTCAGGTTCTGCTGTGTGGCAACTCGTGGCTTCGTTTTTGAAGCTCCCCATTTCTGGAACCCATTGTATTGTGGGTGCAACCATTGGTTTCTCCCTCGTGGCACAGGGGCAGAAGGGTGTCAAGTGGTCTGAACTGATAAAAATTGGTATGTTTAATTTTTCGAATGGCGTCTTAATTTTTGTTTTTGTCATACGTTACCATGGCATTAGGTATGGGAGTATGTGTTCGCATGTGGAGGGACAGACCAAAGAATTTTGAACTCTTAAACATTTAAAGTAGCTTTTGGTCTCTGATTTTCATTATTTGATATTTTTTCTTAATGTGTTCTATTCCAGTGATGTCTTGGTTCGTGTCCCCACTGCTTTCTGGAATTATGTCTGGAATTTTATTCTTTCTAGTTCGTGCGTTCATCCTCCATAAGGTAACTCTCTTCCTTATGAAGACCTTTCATGGATCACACCCAGTTGATTTCAAACCCTGTGGTACTTTTGCAGATGTGATTGGTGTATAGGTATGCAGCCTTGGAAAGTTAAAATAGTTCTTTGTTCTGTGTGCCTTTTGTATGTTGTGGAGTTCTCTGAAAGAAGCAAGTTTTTATATAAGAGGGCAGTCAGGGAGGAAAAATTGAATGCCATGATGTGCCAAGTAATAGGAGAAACTGGGAGCAAAAAAATATGGAAATTTATTTTGGGTGGCTTTGTATAGCTGTATATAGATTGTTTGTTGGAACCACCATTATATACAGGCTAATACAACGTATAAGCTTGGAATTCAAGTCAGTATCCCCTGCGGCTTTTTTATTAAGCTGCCAGTTAAATGGGTCTCTGCAATGCTGATTATCATAACTAGTTTATAAGCTTCTAGATGTGGACTCTGCCTCCCGTAGTGACTTGATTCCAATTTCTCAGAATAGGTGAAAAGAATCAGTTAAAGGTCGTTTTTGGCCAAAAAAAAAAAAAAAAAAAAAAAAATTTTTTTTTCAGGCAGCCATTTCATTTCCTGTCCATTTGAAAATCCTTTTTAAGTGACCCAATAGCATTTCTTTTATCAAGAAGTCATGCTGGCTTCAAAATAAATGTAGACAAGGGATTATGTTGGCATAGGACTGAGTTACAGTAAGAATAAATGCATTTTTCTCAGGAAACAAAGTTGTCCTTTTTCTAAGGTGAATGGCTCTTAACAATCCATTGTAAGTTCTTAAAAATGTTCCTAAACTGTAGAAATCTGAGTGAAGGGAGATAGCATAAATTCCGGCGGGTAAGAATGTATTCAGACCTACTTGTCTGGTCTAGTTCTAAGCTTCCCTAGGGAAGGATTTGTCTTCTCCATAGAAATTCTGTGACTAGAAAAGTGATTCACTAATCACTGTTTTCCATAGCCAGAATCTGGCAGAACATAACAGTTTAACACTTTGAAAACTTGAAATATTTCTAGTTTGGTATAATTTGAGAGTAAGCAGTTCATTGATATTTATGGACTCTTAGATTTGGCTCTGTTTCATTCAGCAGACAGGTACAATAAGTACCTGCCTTCCTACACCCGACAACTGTAGTTTATGATACTAGGATGCTTAAATTAGAGGCTCACCAGTAGTCATGGACTGGATTTTTTTTTTTTTTTTTTTTTTGAGTCGGAGTCTTGCTCTGTCGCTAGGCTGGAGTGCAGTGGCGCAATATTGGCTCACTGCAACCACCACCTCCTGGCTTCAAGTAATTCTTCTGCCTCAGCCTTCCAAGTAGCTGAGACTACAGGCTTGTGCCACCATGCCCAGCTAATTTTTGTACTTTTAGTAGAGACAAGGCTTTACTGTGTTGGCCAGGGTGGTCTTGATCTCTTGACCTCATGATTTGCCCACCTCAGCCTCCCAAAGTGCTGGGTTTATAGGCGTGAGCCACTGCCTGGCTGTCATGGACCAGGTTTTTTTTTAGTACTTGTATTGGAGAACCCTATATCCTGCTACTTAGCAGAGAGTCAGAAGCATTAGTAGGATCTCCTGTTGTGAATTCCTGCTTTGTCAAGGTTTATACTGGCCCTTTGTTGATGATTGAGTAACAGATCATTTTGTTTTTGGAGATGGTTTGTGTGTTTCACCTCCAGAAAACAAACTTATTTCCCGGAGGGGGAATGGTGGTCCTCTGAGGTGCAAAAAGGGATTCTCAGGTGGCCAGAACCTCTCATTTGAGGAATGCATACCCCCATGCTGTTATTGAGAGCTGAAGTTAGATATAGTAACTGATTTCTTAACTGTATATTTTGTTTTTTTTTTTTGGTTTTTTGTTTTTTTTTTGACATGGAGTCTTGCTCTGTCGCCCACACTGGGGAGCAGCCCCGCTAATTTTTTGTATTAACTGTATATTTTTCATGTGGGTATGGGAATGGGTATGATCAAATGATGAATGATGCGCATAGTGTTTAAAGCAATATTGATGGACCGGGTGCGATGGCTAACTCCTGTAATCCCAGCACTTTGGGAAGCTGAGGCAGGCAGATCATGAGGTCAGGAGTTAGAAACATACTGGCCAACTCTGTCTCTACTAAAATACCAAAACTTAGCTGGGTGTGGTGGCGGGCACCTGTAGTCCCAGCTACTCGAGGTTGAGGCAGGAGAATTGCTTGAACCCGGGAGGCGGAGGTTGCAGTGAGCTGAGATTACGCCACTGCACTCCAGCCTGGCTGATCTGGATAGATCTCGACTCCGTCTCAAAAAAATAAATAAATAAAACAATATTGACTTTGAGGATCTTCCCCCACTCTGCGTGTGCATGCACATACACTCTTTCAGGCCAGTTCCTCTGTAACAGGAGTTTTCAGGTGAGTGTGACTTTCTGCTTCTTTTTAGGAGTTACATTTCAAGAAAATAGACTGGTAAGCTTTGGGGATCCTAACTGCTAAAATCTGAATATTTGACCATTAAGATACATTCCAACTGTTAAAAGTCCATCTTGAAAATTAAGATTAAAAGTACATCTTTTTATTTCAAAAACTTTCATTTTAAACGTTTTCTATTCTCTGAATGTTTGCTCCAAACATGTTGGTAATCTGGTAGGAACAGACAGAATGGAGGTTAGGTGCTTCTGTTAAGGACTGGCATTGTACAGAAGGGATACTCCTCAGTGCTCCTGTTGAATATTTTTAAATTCTAGTCAAAGAAAACAGGGCTTTTGGCATTCTCATTTATTAGGAGAAATATATTTAGGTTATCTTCCCTTTTCTTTAGACAAAAACAGAATATCCAATATGTAATAGTGAACTATTCTGGTGAAGATGGGGGTTATGTGAAGACCTTCTTTCCCATCCCACATGACTAGATGATCAGGCATTCATATCATTTCCAAGTGAAGTTTTACTTGTGTGTTAGGTGGATCTGTACAATGATGAGAGACCTTTCTTGTTGTACCTTTTTCCTAGACTCTTTGGAACTTTTGACTTTTTTTTTTTAACTATGAACCTGTATTTCATAATAAACTTGGTATAGTAGTGTCATTCATTCCCTACCCCATCCCCAACTACTTTGTATATAGAATACCTCAGATTTTTTTTACCTCAGGGAATACTTAATTGGGCTATACTGTACAGGATAGTAAATACGCAGGTTGCTACTTCTGATGAGCCAATTACAGTTTGATTTATAGATAACCCTATATTACGAAATAGTCTTTGAAAATCTGTAGAGAAGTTCCCACATAATGTCTTTAGAACACTAAAGGGTTTTAGTTTTGCAGTGTAGGAGTCTTGGGTTGGGTTTTTTGGAGCTTTTTTTCTTTGAAATGGAGTCTTGCTCTGTCACTCAGGTTGGAATGCTAGGCACGATCTCGGCTCACTGCAACTTCTGCCTCCAGGGCTCAAGCAATTCTCCTGCCTCAGCTTCCTGAGTAGCTGGGATTACAGATGCCTGCCACCACGCCTGGCTAGTTTTGTTTGTTTGTTTGTATTTGTATTTTTACTAGAGATGGGGTTTCGCCATGTTGGCCAGGCTGGTCTCGAACTCCTGACCTGAGATGGTCCACCCTCTTCAGCCTCTCGAAGTGCTGGGATTACAGGCTTGAGCCACCACACCTGGCATTTTTTTCTTTTAAGAAGCAAAATCTTGCCCTGTCACCCAGGCTGAAATTTGATGGCCTAATTGTAGCTCAGTGCAGCAGTGTCCTCCCAGAGTCTTGCTCTGTCACCAGGGCTGGAGTGCAGTGGTGCGATCTCGGCTTACCTCTGCCTCCTGGGTTCAAGTGATTCTCCTGCCTCAGCCTCCTGAGTAGCTGGAGTTACAGATGTGCACAACCATGCCCAGCTAATTTTTTGTATTTTTAGTAGAGACAGGATTTCACCATGTTGGCCAGGATGGTCTCGATCTCCTGACCTTGTGGTCTGCCTGCTTCAGCCTCCCAAAGTGCTGGGATCACAGGTCTGAGCCACTGCGCCTGGCCACGAGTGTCAGTTCTATGAGAACAGGAACTTGGTCTCATTCCCTCCTATACTTCAATGCCCAGAATAGTGCTTGGCACGCAGTCTGTTGAGTGAGTGGATGACCTTGTGCGCAATCAGTTTTTATCATTGGAATTTGGTAAAGCATTGGCATCTTTGTCAGATGTTTAGATAAGATGGTTGCTGTAGGTATAGTCTGCATGTTGTATTTTTAGTCTTTGAAGGTATGAAGTCGTCAGGTAAGCAGCATCCTAACATAGTCTGTTTCTTGACATCTCTTGCAAAAGTAGAGTATAGCCTATCCTCAGTCATGTGCTCAAGTTTATATTAGGGCTTTTTGGGTACCTTAGAATGTGGCTATTGAAATCGTTTTTTCAGGAGGTTATCATCACTGGTACAGGTAGCCTTGTTATGAAAAATAGAAAAAAAAAAAAATAAAAACCAAACAGGTAGAAGTTGGAATTGACCTTCATAGGAACAATTCCAGGAGCAAATGCAGGAAAAACCCAGCTGGCCTTGGAAACTACTCTGGAGGGACAGTTAAACTGGCACTATAATTCCCAAACATACCCTATTACAAGATTCTGTGGAAATGGGTTAACTTTTATAGCTTTTAAGATATTGATCTTAATGATGTTTTACAGGCAGATCCAGTTCCTAATGGTTTGCGAGCTTTGCCAGTTTTCTATGCCTGCACAGTTGGAATAAACCTCTTTTCCATCATGTATACCGGAGCACCATGTAAGTACATACCAAAGCATTTAAATGTGAATATAAAGTTGTTTACAAAACTTGCATTAAATGCCCAATTTACCCCTTTTTGCTTTACAGGGCTGAAATCTCCTAGAAGGTGGCTGGCCTGCGCCCATTTCAGAAGGCTGCAGGCTAGTGTACGCTGAGTTAACCTAGATAGCTTTTCAACCAAAGAGACCTGCTCAGATTCTAAATCACTACAGACCTTTCCTCTTTAGTCTTCACAGGATCCACGATAATATGACCTTCTCCTTCCCTTTCTCCTGTCTATGCTAAAAATGCTGGAATTAATACTGACCTCGACTACTGAAGTCATTAGTAATATCTGGTCTTCAGTAATCAGTCGTTTAGGACCGGTTTGCTGGATATTCTCATTTTTCTCTCCCAAATGGAGATACCATTGTTTCTAAGTACTAAACTTCCGTGAATCTGCTTGAATGAGAAGAGTTGGGATGTTTACCACCTGCTCTAAGTGCACTTGGAAGAAGAAATTCATGCAGCTAAGAGGAAAAATAATTTGTGAGAATATAAAGGTGGAAATGTTGATTACTTTCATGTTTGGGACTAAGGCAATGCATGGATTAAATTATGGTGCTACAAGTTTAATTTAGCAACTACAAAAGATTGGTAACTTGTAACTTGCAGGACAGTACAGTTTTGGAATCTAGTCTCATTTGGCCCTGATGGTCTGTGACTACATAGGCAGTGACTTTTATTCTTTATACTGTGAACCACTGGAAGACATACGGGATACGTGTGTATGTATATAGAGAGAAAGATAACTGGAATAGTGTTATGAAGCCGCTTATACTTACTATGTGCTATGCACCCATATTTTCGAATTCTCTTTAGTTTTTTTTTTTAAAACATTTGTGTGGCCCACTGAAATGATTTCAGTTTTGACTAATGGGTTGTGACTTGCCTCTTAAACCTCACTAAGTAGTTGCTGACCTTGGAGTTAACTAAATGTTTTCATTTTTTAAAAATCTTATTTTAGATTCACAATTGTGTGTGTGCATTTTGTTAGATGGAGCTAAGTATTTTTAATCTTGCTTTTATTCTTGGAATAATCAGGAACAAAACAGACAACTTTAAGAAAATACTATTCTTAGGATATACCGAACTCTTATGTACTGGTGAGGAGAAGCGAACTCCTGACCTCAGGTGTTCCGACCACCTTGGCCTCCCAAGGTGCTGGGATTACAGGCACGAGCCACTGCGCCCGGCCAGTGCTTTGCTTCTGTCTTTAGTACAGGCTAATGGTTTGGAGCCTACTGGCATGTAGGTGACAATAAAATCATGACTAATACTGCTCATTCTTAAACCACATGGAAAGTGTTGCTAGGGAAGTCTCTTTTTTTAAGATAAGACTTGTTAGTGAAATTACCACTAAATTTTCCTTTTTGTGAAAGACAAAACCTTTTTTTTTTTTTTTTTGAGACAAAGTCCAGGCTGGACAATCTCAGCTCATTGCAACCTCCGCCCCCAGGTTCAAGCGATTCTCCCACCTCAGCCTCCTGAGTAGCTGGGACTACAGGTGTGCACCACCATACCTGGCTAAATTTTTTTGTATTTTTAGTAGAGACGGGCTTTGCCATGTTGGCCAGGCTGGTCTCAAACTCCTGACCTTAGGTGATCTACTTGCCTTGGCGTCCCAAAGTGCTGGGATTACAGACATGAGCCACTGTGCCTAGCTGAAAGACAAAACTTTTAAAGCTATTCTTTAAATTACTGACTTTTGATAGGTATTTTTGTTTTTTATATCTTGTTTTGATACGGCTTTCAAGGAGATAATCTTTACTGAAGGCCGGTACAATGGATGTAATCACTTTTACACAGAATTATGTCAGCATGACAAATGTGACTACTGAGACATCATTCTTTTGACATTAAAATAAGCTTGTAGGTGGTAGTGGAATATGTGGCAGTTATGATTACGAGCTAGGGAGTGGAACACTCTTCTTTTTCATAGCTAGTCACAGGTCCTTAGCATGTAATGATTCTTACTATCTTCTAAAGTGAAGAAAGGAAAAAGGCTAGTATGTTGAGACGCATAGGACCCTTGAGTCTCGCAGGTGTTCAGGTGGGCCAGGCTGGCGTGGGTTTTCGGATGATCATTGAGTTTTTCTCCCAAATTTGTATAGGCACTAGCACAGTAAACCCTGTGCACTTAAATCTGGCAGCAGCTGTCAAGGGTGTTGGGCTGGCTTGGGGAACCCCTTAGTCCCCAGAGGAGGGTTTACACATTATTGCAGGGGGCTGTTGCCCTGGGGTTTTCAAGATGCACCATTTTATCTCCTAGTGCTGGGCTTTGACAAACTTCCTCTGTGGGGTACCATCCTCATCTCGGTGGGATGTGCAGTTTTCTGTGCCCTTATCGTCTGGTTCTTTGTATGTCCCAGGATGAAGAGAAAAATTGAACGTAAGTAATAAGTTATAGCAGAAAAGTTTAACTACTAATGTTGTGCTTATTTCTTTTTTGTTTTGTTACCTGTAGAAATCTATTAGGATAGATTGGCAAAATAAAAGATTTTAAAGAGAAATTTGAGAATATGGGTTTGTTGCCCAAACTGTGTTCTTAAGTAGACTGCATGACCTAAGACCTAGTGATAAAGAGTATTCAGCCTATGCTGTAGAGATGTTAATTTTTATTTTAGTGTTCTTTGGTCAGTTGCCAGTGACATGATAGATAAATAGAGAAATCATACCCTACATTTACTGAGAAATATAAGGATACATACCTTAATGAAAAATAAGGGGTAGGTACAAGATATTTTCATAGAGGAAACATTTGCCCCAACTACTTCTGTGTGTAACTTTAGATTCAGACACGCAAAGCTAAGTCTAATGTGTACATGTTGTATATGGGCTAGAATACGTATAGACATTGTATTTCAGTATATAATACAAATACATATACAAACATACATTGTGTTTCTGCTAGAATTGTAACACAGATTCTAGAAGTAAACATTTTCAAGTGTCATGTGAAGGAATCATTTAGGGCATGACAACACACACATGTTATTAAATACTGAGTAAATTTTGGTTAGTATCAAACTTACTTAAAATCTTGTATTTTTTTTCTTAAAAGAATCATTTTCTGTCCCTTTCATCTATGTGAAGGCTGGGCTAGCCATTTGAAGTTTATCCTTTTGAAGCTAAGGGATGCACAGACTGCAGAGGCATTAGGAAGAATGCTGCGTCACCGCAGCTGAACGGAGGAGCCTCCGAGAGGTTCTGTCCTAGTCTGGCTATGCCAAGTGCATGGTGGGAACCAGGCTTTCAGGACTGTCTGACCTCATTTTCCCTCTCTGGGAGGAGATGAGACAAGTCTTGCTTTCTGTCAGTTAGTCTGTAGTTTGACTGAGATGCCTGAATGGATAGGTCAGCATACTGAGCACTGGCATGAGAGATAGGCAAGAGATACTGTGGTCTGCCTATGGGATTTAGAGCCATAAGGCACACCTCTGTTTCATAGAGGTGGAAATTAAAGTTGTCATCTTTGGTTCCCTGCATTGAGCTATGCCACTTAGCTTGAATTGTTGGACTGAAATTGGAGAGAATCCTCTTTTAAAAAGAATAGAATTGGGTATAGTTCAGATTTTCAGTTTCAGATTATCACCCCAGTGATTGAGCTACTTTCCACTGCAGAATGGGTCCCAGGGAGCTAAGAAGGGTTCTTATATGTGTAAAGGTTTGTAAAAATAAAAACATAACACGAATGTGCTACAGAAGCCCATAAAACCTAAAATATTTACAGAAAATGTTTGGGACCCCTGACATAGGGTGTTCTGCATTGCTGGTTGTTCCCAAGTGAGAGTTGCTGGCAAATGATAAAGCAGGCAGGAAAAATGTTCCTGAAGGTCACATACATTGTTGTTTTGAGATGGGTTTTTTGGGGATGGAGGAAAGGAGCTGTGGAACAAGGTAGTGTGGCCACAACCAAACCAAAAAAACCTTTTTTTTCCTAGGAGAAATAAAGTCTAGTCCATCTGAAAGCCCCTTAATGGAAAAAAAGAATAGCTTGAAAGAAGACCATGAAGAAACAAAGTTGTCTGTCAGTGATATTGAAAACAGGAATCCTGTTTCTGAGGTAGGGTCTGCCACTGTGCCTCTCCAGGCTGTGGTGGAGGAGAGAACAGTCTCATTCAAACTTGGAGATTTGGAGGAAGCTCCAGAGCGAGAAAGGCTTCCCAGTGTGGACTTGAAGGAGGAAACCAGCATAGATAGCACCGTGAATGGTGAGTTGGAATTCCTGGTTTCACTTTGTTGTCTGCAGTGGTGGGGAGGCTTACTGTTTGGATTTGTTGCTTTTTGTATTGAATGTCACCTTGGTGATCTTGACTAGGTGCAGTGCAGTTGCCTAATGGGAACCTTGTCCAGTTCAGTCAAGCCGTCAGCAACCAAATAAACTCCAGTGGCCACTACCAGTATCACACTGTGCATAAAGATTCTGGCTTGTACAAAGAGCTGCTTCATAAGTTACATCTTGCCAAGGTGGGAGATTGCATGGGAGACTCTGGTGACAAACCCTTAAGGCGCAATAATAGCTATACTTCCTATACTATGGCAATATGTGGCATGCCTCTGGATTCATTCCGTGCCAAAGAAGGTGAACAGAAGGGCGAAGAAATGGAGAAGCTGACATGGCCTAATGCCGACTCTAAGAAGCGAATTCGAATGGACAGTTACACCAGTTACTGCAATGCTGTGTCAGACCTTCACTCTGCATCTGAGATAGACATGAGTGTCAAGGCAGAGATGGGTCTAGGTGACAGAAAAGGAAGCAGCGGCTCTCTAGAAGAATGGTATGATCAGGATAAGCCTGAAGTGTCTTTCCTCTTCCAATTCCTGCAGATCCTTACAGCCTGCTTTGGTTCATTTGCCCATGGTGGCAATGATGTAAGGTGAGTTGACATTGATCTTAGTGTTGTTAACCCTATTTTTAAACCATTTATCCTTTTCATAAGCCTGTGCTTGTGATAGTGGTACTCCTAGCACTTATGGGACCCTGAATAATACAAATAGAATGAGGTAATAGCAGTCATTGACTTAAGACAGTACCGTTTTACTCTTCAGAGGAATTACAAAGAATGTTTTTAACTTTATTTCTATAGATGATCAGGTATCTTTCACAGAGAAGGCTTTTGCCTATCAGGATGAGATCCAGTTCTTTGGTAGTGAATTGTGGGATGTAAGATGAAAAACTTGAAAGCTTTTCATACAGAATGATTTTGTAGTTTGGTTTGTGAACTGTTTATTGGAACCTGAGAGTTGCTTTAAGCTACCTGTAGGAAGAAGGAGGCCGCCATTTGCATGGCACACTCTCCATCAGAGCGGTGCTTATTTTTCTTTTGTGTATGTTGGGTTCCATTTATGTCCTTGGAAAGAAAAGCCCTTTTGCTTGAAAGCTGTGCTTTAGATAACCTGGTATGTCATTCAGCAAATTGGATCTTGCCAAGATGTAGTTCTGCCTGAAAAATTACTTCTGCCCTCTTTGTTTCTTCCAGCAATGCCATTGGGCCTCTGGTTGCTTTATATTTGGTTTATGACACAGGAGATGTTTCTTCAAAAGTGGCAACACCAATATGGCTTCTACTGTATGGTGGTGTTGGTATCTGTATTGGTCTGTGGGTTTGGGGAAGGAGAGTAATCCAGACCATGGGGAAGGATCTGACACCGATCACACCCTCTAGGTAAGTAGGTGGAGTAGGCCTTACAGAGGTCAGTACCCATTTTCTTCAGAGATATAATGCTGTCAAGTGCTAACGAATCTCTAGTTTAAAGTAACCAAGTTTGTTTAAGTTCCTGATGTTCTTATTGTCAGTGTATTCTTTTTAGATTTTACTTGTCTCCATCTTAAACATTTTGGTTAGACATTTTATGCATTCAGCTCCAGTGGTCTCTGAGGAAAATGACTTTTCTGAGAAAGCTGTGTGTGCTAAAAGTGGATAGTTATGTATACTTGCGTTTTATTTGTCTTTATTTGGGAGCTAAGAGTCATGTTTACCAAACCTTCAAAACAAAAGTGCAAATTTTATTTAATAATGGGCTGCCAGGGCCAGGCGTGGTGGCTCATGCCTGTAATCCCAGTACTTTGGGAGGCTGAGGCGGGTGGATCATGAGGTCAGGAGTTCAAGACCAGCCTGACCAACATGGTGAAACCCTGTCTCTACTGAAAATACAAAAATTAGCCAGGCATGGTGGCGCGTGCCTGTAATGCCAGCTACTCAGGAGACTGAAGCAGGAGAATTGCATGAACCCAGGAGGTGGAGGTTGCCGTGAGCCGAGATTGCGCCACTGCACTCCAGCCTTGGTGACAGAGTGAGACTCCATCTCAAAGAAAAAAAAAAGGACTTCCAGATAAACATGAAACTTGAAACCTTAGAATAAGGAAACTGGGCATCCCATGGCTTGATTTAAATAAGATGGATCTTGGGGTTATAGCAAATAAAGATGTCAGTGGAGGTTTTGTGACTGAGTAGAACAAAGCAGGACTGTGTTAACTTGAGAAGCAGTGTTAGCTTCTCAAAAAAGTCAAACTGAATTCCTGACGACAATCCTTTTGTGTCTGTAGTGGCTTCAGTATTGAACTGGCATCTGCCCTCACTGTGGTGATTGCATCAAATATTGGCCTTCCCATCAGTACAACACATTGTAAAGTAAGTGTAATGTCAATGTGTGTTTTTCAAATGGTTCTTCTAATAGGTAGGGTTTAAAATTTACTTCTCTGATATTTGATTTATTAAGTTTTGTGTAATTGGAGTCTTGAAGAGTTCACAAGTTTAGGGCAAGCGATTACAAGAATAAAGGCTTACACTATACAATTTCTCGTGTCTGTTCTTAAGCAATTAAATAGATATTCTCCCCAAATAATAGAAACATTCTTTTATGTGGAGCTTGCTATAATTTTTGGTTACTAACCTCTTCCTTTGTTACCTAGCCATCCCTCATTGTAGTGGTTTTATAGTAATTTAAAAAAAAATCTCGAGTCATTTCTACTTGACACCATTATTTATTTGTTTATTTATTTATGAGTCAGAGTCTTGCTTTGTCCCCCAGACTGTGGTCCAGTAGTGCGATCTTGGCTCATTGCAGCCTCCGCCTCCCAGGTGCAAATGATTCTTGAGTCTCAGCCTCCCAAATAGCTGAGATTACATGTGCCCGCCACCATGCCTGGCTAATTTTTGTATTTTTAGTAGAGACAGGGTTTCACCATGTTGGCCAGGCTGGTAATAAATTCCTGACCTCAGGTGATTGACCTGCGTTGGCCTCCCAAAGTGCTAGGATTACATGTGTGAGCCGCGCCCGGCCAGCCATTCAGGGCAGGATGGGTGTATGCTTAGAAACTGGCGGGTGCTTTAATTCTGACCAGGTGGGTTTCTGCTGCCATTGGTGGTGGCTTAAGGTCTGGTTCCAACAAGTTTGCGAGGCTTGCCAGAATGTTGGCAAGGCTGTTTATTTACGGAATGCATATATTCAGGGCCTCTCAGGATTGAAATACTGAGAAACTAAACAAATCTTAAGATTGTTTAATGACAATATAATAATTATAGGAAAAGGAAGAAACTGGTTTTCTTAAAAGGATTTATGTTGGTCCATTGTGGATCCTGCCGAGTCATCTGTTTGCTACCAGATGTGTCTCCAGGCAGTCATTTATTAGGTTTAAAATCAGCCACTCTGCAAATAATCTTTGGAAGACTTACAACTCAATTTGTTATTAAAAGTAGTGTTTATTCATTAAATTCTAGTAGCTTAGAAGGGGAAAAGAAATGGTTCTTGTGTCCTTTTACTACCGTTAGTATAGATTATGGTTGGATTTTCAAATTGCCTTCATTTTCCCATCTTCTTAACCTGTTGTAAACCAGCTTTCATGGACTTGTTCTTGTCCAGGGGTCTGGGGCTCCTTGTCCAAACAGTTTCAGGTGTCTGTTTGCCAAAATACCAGAATACCATTGGCACTTTAATAATCTGTTTCCTTGGTCTGTTTCTCTTTTAGGTGGGCTCTGTTGTATCTGTTGGCTGGCTCCGGTCCAAGAAGGCTGTTGACTGGCGTCTCTTTCGTAACATTTTTATGGCCTGGTTTGTCACAGTCCCCATTTCTGGAATTATCAGTGCTGCCATCATGGCAGTCTTCAGATACATGCTATCCTGTGATCAAAATTTGTGTCAATGTTTGGGACCACCTTAGGTATTCCTGCTCCCCTGAAGAATGATTACAATGTTACTGACGACGTCTTTTTATTTGGGAGCCAGAAGAGGGAAGTGTTACTTGTGCTATAATTGCTTTTGTGCTAAATATGACTTGTCTCAAAATTAGCTATGTAAAATAGCCAGGGTTCCACTGGCTCCTGCTGAGATCCCCTTTCCTTCTGGGCTGTGAATTCCTGTACATATTTCTCTACTTTTTGTATCAGGCTTCAATTCCATTATGTTTTAATGTTGTCTCTGAAGATGACTTGTTTTTTTTTTTTTTATTTTTATTTAAAACAACCATGCAGAGCTATTTGACAGAGTATGCTCTGCTTTGTTGGTTTCACCAGCTTCTGCCCAAACATGCACAGGGATTTAACAACAAAAAAAATATAACTAAAGCTTCCTTTGTAGTCTCTTATATAAGTAGAGTCAGTGGTACTCTGCCCTCCTGTCAGTAGTGGCAGGATCTATTGGCATATGTGGGAGCTTCTTAGAGGGATGAGGTTCTTTGAACACAGTGAAAATTTAAATTAGTAGTAACTTCGTTGCAAGCAGTTTGTTGACTATTATTGCTAAGAAGAAGTAAGGAAAAAAGCCTTT